CAAACAACCCAACACAGTTTGGGCTTGCAACGCCATCTGGGTGATCTGCAAATTGTTGGCCAGCATCCAACAAACCAGCCTGAGAACCTCAACAATCTCTGTGGTCTGACAGCAACTAATATATGTCTTCACATTCTTCACCACCCTTTTTATAAACCATCAGACTTCCTTGCAATCGCCCTTCAGCTTGATGCTGATCTGCGACCTTCTCCTTTGCACAACCACAAACACTGTTACACTCGGCTGTAGCCACCATCGTCTCTGTCACAATCACTACAATGACATGGTTTCTGCATCCATGTGTGCAGAGGACTCCCACCGTCCCTGACTGCAGGCACCCTCCGCATCCGGACACTATGTCCATTTTGCGGCCATGGGCGCTATACTGAATGCATGCTCTTTTGTGGTGGCCGTTCTTCTTTCATTTTGGCCTGCAATCGACATGCCATTTGTCGGGGGTGTCCTTGCCAACGGTTTACCGGGCAGTTCTTTTTGTGACGATATATAGGCAAACAGAGCTGCCCGGTAAACCGTAGTCATCAAGGGAGAAGAGGACAACAAATGAGGGGCTGTGACAAACTGTTTCGTCGGAGTTTCATCGACTCATCATTAGGAGAACTTTACTGAAATATTGTATATATAATTTTTGCATCGTTATTGTTGATATTATTGAGTAGTCTTCTATTGAAGTATACCTACAATCTTGGCCAATATCACAGCTGTATAAGCACGAGTCTTTCATCTGTGTGATTTTCTGCTGCTCATATCTGCGTACTTGCCCTTCTCTTTCTCGTGAATTTGCCTCTCTGCCATGTATATTTATCTAGACTGTGACTGTTTCCCTACCATAAGCAACTGATTGGGGAAACTGAGGACAAAAGGTCATTGGCCTGGATGCGGAGGTACTCCTTACCTGAAAATAACCAAAACTTGAAAACGGCCATTGGCCTAACGAAAATAGGCCATTGGCCTGGACGCAAGTACTGCTCCGCTTTTCCACCCATCAAAAGCAGTTTTCATCTCTGGCCTCTTTTTTTCTCCCAGAGTTTAGTGTATGGGATGGTTCCTGCTTTCATTCTGCCTTTACCCTTTAATTCACTCTTTAAGCTTGTTGTTGCGAGGTCTAGGGCTTAGGGCTTTAAGGCTTTAGGGCTTTAGGGGTTTAGGACTTCAGGGCATAACAGCCCACTTGTACGCTGTGAGAAAGAGGCAGAGTGAAGGGGGAGGGGATAAACACAGGGAGGAGAGATGGAGAGCAGACAAACAAAGCACGATAAAGGGAAAGTAAGGGAAAGTATGGAGTGTGGAGTGAAGATGACGGCAAAAGAGGATAAGAAAAGG